ACACACACACACACACACACACACACACACACACACACACACACACACACACACACACACACACACAAGTCGGTTCAATGATACAGTGGTAGGCCTCCCAACCCCAGTCAAGATGGCCACCTCAGTTTTAAAAAATTGTTTATAACTCAGTAAGTTTTGTAGATAATGACCTAATGTTTGGTGTGGTAGTAGCTGACAGTCATTCCAAACTTACACTCCACCTGCCAACTTTGTCTAATAAAATATTTCATGAACCACCGGATGTATTTTAAGGAAACCTGCAGACAATAACTACTGGATGTCTGTCTACAACTGATTAACTTTGGATTCCAGATTTGGTCAAAATGGCTGCTACTAGATCATTTTTCAACATAAAATGATGAACTTATCCCTTTTTTTTGAATTGGCTGTAAAGAACTTGGCCAACAGCAATGTGTTGTATAAATTAAATTACCAAAATCCTATGTTTTCTGATAAAGAAAATATAGATATGAACATTTGTCACGGATTTTTCACGTGTCAAACACTTTATTATGAATGTAATCTCAACACACAGCTGATCCTTGACAACTTTGAGTTTTATTTTTAAAGGTTTCGACCGGAAGTGAATTTTCAGTTTTATTTTGAAGGCCTCGGCCGGAAGTTGTGTATGTGTGTGTTTATAATAACAATCCGTGCGGTGAAGCTGCAGAGCTCAGTGTTCAGCAGCAGCAGCAGGGAGGAGATGGAGGAGGACCCGACCGCCTCCGAGCTCCCATAAACCAGACAGAGGAGACCCAGATGAGCCCGGGAGGGGAGGCGGAACCAGGACCGGCTCTGGAGACTGAGCATCCTCACTGAAGGAGCGAAGTGGGGTGAGAGAGAACCGGGATCGGCTCAATGAAACCAACCCTGTTCCGTTGAGGTGAGTCCTACCGGTTGCTGCGTTTTGTTTATTTTTTTTATTATTTTTTTTTCCTGTTTATATTTATTTCGGATCATTTTGATTTTTAATAATTATTATTATGTTTGTGCTGGATTTCTCCGGAAATCCTTTTTTTTAATGGACCTGGTGGGGTGGGGGGGCAAAGTGAGCTCACAGAACAAGATCCGGATCCCTGATAGGTTCTGACGATCCCCAGTCATTGTTCTGACTCCCATTGATGGGCTGCGATCTGGACCTGGAGCTGTCAGAGGCTGCAGCAGACTCCCATTCATGAAGTCCTCCTCTGGAGGCTCTCAGGAGGTTCTGTGGGCCTGCAGCAGGCCCGCTTCAGGCCTGATATTATTGACTTTCTCTCATGTGTCATTTTATGGGCTTCACTCTACAGTTAATATGAAGCCTAATAAGTCTGATTTCAACAGGATTCAGGCCTTTGGGTTTAAATATTAGCCTCTAGTGACCAAATCAAAGGGTTATTATTCTTCATATGTTAATTATTTTTTTCTCTTTATATGTAATTTTTCCACGATAATCCCTTTTAAGATAAGAGTTTTTCTAAGTTCCACTGAGGGAAACGCTTGTCACGACCTGACTGTGAATTAAAAACAGTGAAAGTAAAGGATAGCAAAGCAGAGCAAAAAGTGCATCGCAATAATTAGGCTTTATTGTGTGTGATGCTCATAGATTTTATTAAACTCAGGTCTTTGCTTCCTCCAAACATGTAAAGTGTAAAACTTATAAATAACCAGTATATTATATATAAACCCAATTACTAAAAAAAATGTAGATACGGAAAATTCAGATTTTCCCAGACCCAAATTTTATTCACAGTGGAGCATAATAATAATAATATCAAATGTTTGAACTAAAAAAATGTAATATATAAAGGTCATTTAGAATTTTAATCATCTTAAAAAAGTTGTTTTAATTTTTCACTGTTAAAAGTCCCCTCATCTTTTACCAACGGTCTGTAAACATCTGAAGGGACCAGCTGGAGGACATTGTTGTCCAGTTCTTGTCTAGCTTTTTAACAATTCTGGGTCTTTTTTTGCTGGATTGGAACATCTGTTTTCTCCATCTGGTTTATAATAATCTGCACTGATCAGTGCCTTTCCATGTGTAAGCTCCTCCATACCATCAGAGAGGCCGGCTGTGGCGCCCTGTCTTTGATGTGGGCTCTATGATTTAGAAAAGAACTTTGGACTTTGATTTATTTGACTACAGAACAGCTTTCAACTTCATCTGCTCTCATTTTAAACGAACGTCAGCCCAGCCTTTCTGGATGGTGTTCCACACGTGGCTTCTTCTTTTCATGATAGAGCTTTAATAGCTTTTGTGGAGGTGTTGCCTTCCCACGTAGTAATGTCCAGAACAGAATCGGACCTGTTTTTGACTTTGAGTCATTTAAATTCAGAGATTTCTCCAGACTCTTAAAATCTTTCTGCTGATGTTATGAGCTGTAGTAGATAAGACGTTTAAAGGAAAATTACATTTTTGGTGAACCTCTGCCCATTTTTAGTCCTGAGAGCTTCAGCCTCTCCAAAATGTTCTTTTTATATCCAGTCATTTTAGTAAAGTTTCCAAATAACCTAATTAGTCGCTAAATGCTCCTCCAACTGTTTCTAAATAACTGTTTTTAAGCCTTCTCTTGGTCCTGTCCCAACCTTTTTTTTTTTTTTACATATGTTGCTGTCATAAAATCTAAAATGACCTTTATTTACAGCTAACAGGAGTATTCCTGTGTGGAATTTACATGTTCTCACCATCAATGCTTTGAGTTTATGTTTTGGTTTCCTCCCACATTCTCAAATGATTTGTAGGATGATAATTGCCCTAGCTACACAACCAAACAAAATTTCCGTGATATGAACTCGGTTTAGAAAGTACAACAAGCCCCCAATAAAGTGTTTTAAAATGTTTTTTTAAAGTATAAGACCTGAGGACCTTTTTGTCCTGTATATATGAGCAGTATTCTATGAAAGCTGCTTCACAAAGTGTCCCCTGCATCGGAATGATATAAACATCTTGACTGGTTTTAAATAAGTTGGTTAATCCAGGATAAACTTCAAAGTTGTTTATCTCCCCCCCTCTTTGCCCAAACAGATATTCTAGACAGAAATAGAGCCGATGAAGTGTTTGTCTCGGCAGCTTCTAATCTCTAAAGCTGTTTACCTTTAATTATATGAACTGCACAGACCTTTAGAACTTTTTAGCTACTCTCTAACAGTTTATGTTTCAGTGATAATCAGAGATGGACTGATTACTGATTTCAATTTCTGGTTTTTGTAAAGCTGTGACCAATCAGTGCTTGGTGGAGTTTTTGTTTAGAGTTTATTTTCATCTTAGTGTTTTCTTTGATGTTTCCAGTACTTTTCCACAGTCAGTCTTTACTCCCCGGTTCAGCCCGCCCACTTACACCTGTTCTCTGTTGTTATTTTGTCCGTGTAGTCTCAGTCTTCACTCCTTCTTTTGTTTGGCATTGTGTATGATTCCTATCATGTCTGGTTCTTCTTTGTGTTTCCCCTGTGCCTCTTCAAGTTCAGTTAACCCGTCAACCTTTTGTACTTTTGAGAAATGAAGTAGAGTTTTTATTTTATTTTGAGCTCCTCGTGTCGGTCTGCATTTCTGGGTCCAACCACTACAAACCTTAACACAACCCTTTTAATTTCCTTTGAAATTGACCATTGACCAGGGAAATCCCTTCATACAAAATTTCGGCGTCAAGTAAAGCTCAGAGATTCCCCTTTTTAAATAAAAGGCTGGAATTCCAGGTTAATTCTCAACCAATAAAAATAGAGTTTTTAAATGTCTTCACCAAAAACAGTTTGTTGCCAGGTAATAAAGTTTTCACAAACTATGTATCATTTTGTAGATTTGAAATGGAGAATTTCAAAATGATAATAACTCCATATTGAAAAACTCTCCATTGCGACTCATTTTGTCAGCAACAGGTCCAAATACAAAGAATAATATCAAATATGATGCTTCCGTCTCTGGTGCTGCTTTTCACATCACCTAAATAGAATCCATTCTTGTAACACACACACACAGGTCTGGTTTGTATATCCTCTTGGGGACCGTGCATTGACTTCCATTCATTTTTTGGAAATTTTATATCCAAACCCGAACTATTTACCCTGAAAATTAACCTCACAAATACCTGACCCTTAAACTAACCTAAACTCAATTCACACCTTGGTCCTAAACCTAACCCCCCCACACTTAATTTGCATTTGGACTCGTGAGGACCGGGCATTGGTCCCCACAATGCACGTTTGGTCCCCACAAGGCTGCTTTTCTGGGAAACTTGTCCCCACGATGTAGAAGAAACAAGGCCACACACACCTTTGTATTTGCATCAAACTGAGGACTCTGTATTGACTTCCATTCATTTTTGTAACTGTATTTATGCCTAACCCAGACATTTTCCCTAAAATTAACCATTACTAGTCTATAGCTAACTCTAACCTGAACCAAAACTTAATTCACACCATACCTCTAAACCTAACTAGTAAAGTATAGCAGAGCTGCAAAAGAAGTGAGGACATTGAAGCGGTCCTCACTTTAAATCAAAGACCTCACTTTGATAGTAACTGAAGTGTAGTAAATGGTCCTCACTCTGTAGTCAAAAGAAGCGCACACACACACACACACACACACACACACACACACACACACACACACACACACA